TGATGACCCAGCAGTGACTCTAGATTTAGGTGTTGGCCCCTCCCCCGTCTTAATCTCTCACTTGTTAAGATGTCACATATGATATGAGCTTGTTTGTGCATCACGATCACACTATTGCCTGTTTGCAGCGGTCTCGGGTATATAACAGGGCGAGGCTTTGCATCTCTCACAGGGGACTGGCACTGGGCTCTGAGGGTGAGGACATTTTTCTTATTTACGATGCAGAAGTGCGCTTTGATTCAAAGTGATGCTGGATTATTTGCCTCTGTTCTCAGATCACACCCATCATGGGCGCAGTGGGACTCATTTTGATGATCGTTTTATGCCCCAACCCACCGAGAGGTGCTGCAGAAACCCACGGAGAGGGTGTGACGGAGCAGAGCTCTTACTTGGAGGACGTCAAATATCTTCTGAAAAAGTGCGATTTATATTTTACTCTTGCAAGAGTGAAAAACCCAAACAAATGTGTTTCTAAACAATCTCGTCTTCCTGGTTCTCTGACCTCAGCAAAAGTTACGTGTGGTCATCATTGGGAGTGACGGCCCTGGCCTTCCTCACCGGGGCGCTGGCTTTCTGGCTGCCTAACTTTTTGTTCCGAGCTCGTGTCTATCAGAAACTCAGCGACAAAGCAGGTGACTCCTCGGACAGGTACAGCATGACCTCTACCCGACGTCGCTTACTTGCTCCAGCCTGAATCGGTGCAGAGTTTTGACCGTACTGTGTGCTCTCTTCTTCCTGTGCAGTTACATCTTTGGTGCTGTAACGGTGGCCACGGGCATTCTGGGCGGGGCTCTCGGCACTAGTTTATCCAGACGGTTTAGGGACAAGGTGCCAAATGCTGATCCGCTCATCTGTGCCGTGGGCATGCTTGGATCAGTGCCGTGCCTCTTTATCACCGTCTTTGTGGCATCAGCAAGCATTCCCGCCACTTACGTAAGACAGACTATCCTCTGGCTGAGTGCACCTCGAGGTGGTGACGTTGTTGGTTAGTCACAGCTTTAGGTCAAGCTGTGATATTTAGGACAGAGCATCCTTTAATGGTTCATCTGGCAAAATTCAGATGGTTTGGAGTTTCTCAACATGCAGCAATAGGTCCAAACGTCAAAGAAAGCCTCCTTTTTCTTCTTTCGTTTAAATTCTAGTCACAATGTCAAAGGTTCACATTCAGAGTAGAGCACTTAAAGGCATCGGTTGAAATAAAACATGGTGATCACCTGTTACGACTGAAAAATGACTGTTTGTCTTGAACGTTTCAGGTGTTCATTTTCTTGGGCGAGCTGCTGCTCTCGTTGAACTGGGCGGTCTTGGCTGACATCCTGCTGGTGAGCATCAATCCTGACAGTAAAAAACTCAAAGTGTCGGCTCAAACGTGACGTGTCCCTGTTGCTCGTGCTTCTCGCTTCAGTATGTTGTCGTACCAACGAGGAGGGCGACGGCGGAGGCGCTGCAGATTACAGTCGGACATCTCCTGGGTGATGCTGGGAGCCCTTACTTGTTAGGGGTGGTAAGAAAGAAGCAAGCTTTAGGAGATCATCTGTGATTCTGTCACTGATCACTAACACCGATTTCATACCTGTACCGGTGTAGATCTCTGATGC